CCCCAAAACCCCAAAACCCCAAAACCCCAAAACCCCCGCTATTAATGATTTGCTATTTTCTTGGATTAATAATTATCATCACGTTTTATTGTAAAATTAATTTATTTATAAAATGAATGTAAGTGGAGATTACGGATTTAATCCAGCGCCTTAAGTAAGAATCAGTCTCCCTCCTATCGCTTATTCCTCTCCAAATTCCCCAAGAATAAGTCCAGGCAATTCTCCAATGAATGATTATGGTAATAATGCAAGCGGAGGTTTTTAAAGAGATAAATTAAATCAATCAGTAGTACATCAAAATAGTAACCATTCTTAAAATCCCTATAATTCATTACATTCATAATTTATAGGATACAAAGTTTCAATTCAAGATGTGATATCCTCTAATAAAAAGATAAGCGACGATTGGGGTGTCTCTGGCTATCAAATTCCAAAGTTTAATCCTCATATGGATAAACCAGTTGCTTATTAATTGGCTAAAGACAAGTCTAAAGGTTTCTTCGCTGAAATATAAAAAGCTAAAAGCTATATACCTGGGCCAACTTATGATACCTCTGTTTCAATGATTATGAAGTAGAAGATGTCTATTTCTAAGTTACCTAGGATAACATTTGCTGAAGAAATAATCAAGAAGGCTAGTAAGTTACCCAGCCCAGGATAGTATAACACAGAAAAAAAATAAAAACCAGTGGGAACTTTTATATAGTAAGTAAAGCTTTATTAATAATAGATTAACACCAATTGATGATATGAGGTTAGTAATTTACAATCAAATATATAGATAATCTGAAAGAATAGGCTTTTTAGATGATGCTAGTTACCTTTCTTCTTTAACTCCTGCTCATTATGATTCTACTAATTTAGTAAGGAATAAATGATTCCGGATTAATGATTTAACCAATATAACTTTAGGACACAATAAGGCAGAAAAATAGAGTAGCCAGAATATATGCAGACAAGAGAGAAAAAGGAGTTGAGTTCGAAAAAGATGATTCGCCATCACCGAATTCATATCCAGTTGAGCATGCCTTCAAAAATATTAAGCCCAGATAATATAATGTTAGAATCGGAAAACAAAAGGATCTTAATTTTATTGAGAGAACTTTGAAAACAAAGTCATTGATACCTTCAGTTGGTTAGTATGAGGTTACTACAGCTGATAAATATATTACTAAGGGGAAAAAATCTTATAGATGACTATTATTAACACTCAGAAATTTCGACATATGAAAGTTAGCTATCATTAAATTAGGAATAAATTTACAACAACTTGTATTACTAGAAATAGAAATTTGCTAAATTTATCAAACGATGCACGGGGTTTTGGGGTTTTGGGG